AACTATTATGAAAATAGTTCCAAGCGGAGTTCACGTCATCAGTTAACAGAATACGATGCCAGTCAAAGTGAGACAGATCCCAGAGGAATGACTGTTCACAAAAATGTTTCAGATCCCTTTTTTGAATTAATCTGGGCTTAGAAGGTGGAAGTTTAATATCCCTCAAAGCTGCTGTCACACAATGATCACTCAAGATATTGGCAAATACACCTGTACCAGGGAATTTGTGAGGCATATTAATTAGAAATAGGTCTAAGATGGAAGATTTTTCAGGATGGTTTTTGTTTAATCTAGTGGGAGAGTTGATCAGTTGGGTAAGATTGAGAGACAGGCAACATTCCTTGAATTTATCACAGAGGGGGTCGACTTACCCCAATCAATGTTGAGGTCTCCTGCCAAAAGGATCTCTTTGAATTTTAAATTACCAAGAAATTTCATCAGGGTGGACAGAGCCTCAGGTGTTGCTGAGGGTGGGCGGTAACAGCAGATTACAGTTAAGATCTGGCCTCCATTCAAGGTGAAGTCTACAGATAAGGCTTCAAACTGGTTTGGAATTGTTTTAGAAGACACAGGACTAGCAACCAAAGAATCTCTGATGTAAACAGCGACCCCCCCCCCCTTTTTTTTTTTTGACGATCACAGCGGTAGATGTTAAATCCATTGATTGCCAGGTCATTATTGAGTACAGATTTGTTGAGCCAGGTTTCAGAGATGAAGATTATGTCTGCCCCAGAAGAACTGACCAGAATTTTCAAGGCATCAAGTTTTCTCAGAAGGCTACGTGTGTTTACATGCAGAAAATGACAACCAGACATGTTCATAAAGTCATTTGGTGTGCTGTAATTAGTGGGGGGTCCAGGGTTGGGTTGAATCCCTGAGAGCAGTAACAACATTATTATCAGACATTTTCTTGAGTTTTTTTGTAACTGATGTGTAATTACATGAGTTAACAGTGTGACAATTAGCCCCCATAATCGAACCATGAGAAACATTAATGAAGACGCGATCATTCAGAACCCAAAAACAGTGAAAGTTGCACTGATGGACAGATTCAGGTGTATTAACAAGATTCAGTGACACCAGATAAGCTGAGAACTGAAAATAGTGACAATAATATGAATGATGAAGAAAAGTTTCAGACCATAAAACGTCACAGTTCAAATGGGCAAACAAACCCGACGAGGTGGCCCAACTGCAGTTTGAGTTGGGCTGAGGGGGGCTCTGGCCCCCCAGTGAAGATGGATGGATGCTCCCATGGGAAACAGAAGTTGGGTCCAGAATAAACAGGCCGAAACAGAAACTGATAATTTGTAGCAAATAGAAGAGCGAGCTGCCAGAAAATCGTCCTGAAGTGACAGGCATGGTCCTAGCTCGTTTCAGGTCAACAGGGGCCAGCAGCGTGATCCTGAATAAAATTAATTATTATCCAGGTGAGTTTGGATGGAGGCCTGCAGCAACTCCGATGCAAACTCCGAACTTCTGTCGAGTACCACGCAGCCCTGCTCCTTCACGCTACATCTCCGCTTCTCTGCATGACACCTCCGCACCCGACAGCACGAGAGGCACCCCCAGTGAAAAACAAGTCTGACCGGAGAGGCTGAAGTCGACACTGGTCCAGTCCGGTTCTGCTCCAGTCCAGCTCCGGCGCTCCACAGCACGAGAGACGAAGAGGCTAAAGATGTCCCTGGCCCGGTTCTGCTCCTGTCTGGCGGCC